AGAGAGAGAGAGAGAGAGAGAGAGAGAGAGAGAGAGAGAGAGAGAGAGAGAGAGAGAGAGAGAGAGAGAGAGAGAGAGATGGTGGGAAAGCCGCGAGGACCTCACCTACTTCCCGTTTAGTCGTTTCGCCACACCAGTTATGGCGGGGACTGTTTACCAGCCCGGTTCCCACAGCAGTTATGGCAACCGGGACGGTGACGGCGTATGTGGCTTGACTGAAGTGCGAATGAAAAACTGCCCGTTTATCACAGAAGGGCGGCCCGAGTTTCAACTGAATGTAGAAGTCGGGCAGTGACTGAAGTGCGAAAGTGGTGTTCGGAATGCATTTTGAGACTTCTTTTGTGACCGCGGCCTACTTACCCGATCAGAGTAAATTGAGATGAAAACCAAATTCCCATTATCTGCTCACTACCTTCACAAGGAGTTCGGAGGTCGGGGGATAAGCATCTGATCCCTACTGGTGCGCCGAACGGGAATGAGAGCCCGCTCCTCCTCAACGGCTGTCTCATACGCTCAGTTGCGGAAAGCTGAAGCAGCATCACATCGCTACCTCGTCACATAGCCGAAGCCGGGTAATTGCCCAGGTGTTGTACATTTCTCATATATCTTTCTGTAACCGAAGCTGGACACGGTTTTCAGCAGGTGCTGCTCCTCACTAAAAGACAGGGCTCATCTGGCACGGGTGCTACCAGGGGGTGCTTGTATCATCTCCCTGAAGGATCACTGGCCATAGGTAGCAGTTCCCTAAATTTAATGGAGGCAAAAAGGGAACCCTAAATCTGCCAAGCCCCACTGCCCGTAATGATTGGCACAGTTTTAGACGGGATGATGGGTCTCTCTGCACTACCCTATACTCGTGCAAAACCAAGAATGCAGCACCGCCGCACCTACTGAAGAAATGGGCGCTCTTGAAAACGTCATCGAGCTGTCAGAAACAGCTCAAGAAATCCGCAAGAGTTGTCTTTGCTGCACCTGCTCGAGAATTTTGCTCTAGTTACCCAATTTCATGAGCTGTCAGAAGGGGGCCGTGAGTCTCGCTCTGCACAACACTCCCAGACGGGCCAACACTGCGTGCTCTAGGCTGTTCTTGAGTACCAGGCTGCAAGGACCGTTTTTTTAAGGGAGCTCCGAAGGATGGACGGAGCGCCCGGAATTTCCTTGAGTGCACCTCGAGTCAGGGAAGACAACCCAGGCTGGCGCTATCTGGTAGTGAAGCTTCCGAACTTGTAGAAGCTCATGAAAAACTGTCGGATCCCATAGTGCTACTCTAGAAGTTCAAGAGTCTAGGGGTCTCGCTCCACTACTCTATACTCTCGAAATTTCGAGATTAAGGCCTCGCTCCACTCACTCTAGATAGGTGCTCTCGAAAACGCCCTTCGAGAGCTGTCAGAAAGCTTTCTCGAAGGGCACTCTCGAAGTGTCTAGAGTGCCCAGCCTGCGATGACATGCTTTTCCAGTGTCCTCCCTCGTAACCCCCCTCCGACCATTTTTTTCAGTGAGTGCGCCTCGTGTCCCGACCATCAGAACAGGGCTGCGCTGTCTCTTAGTGCAGTCAGAGAGCTCGTCTCATTCCGCCACTGCATCTCGAGCAAAGCCTTCTAGAGTAAGTGGAGCCAAGACTTTTTCTTGAGAGTTTTGCATGTCTGACAGCTCTTGAGTCGAGAGTAGTGGAGTGAGACCCTAGAGCACATGCCGCGATGCGTGGGTTTCGGGACCTTTCTGGAGTCTGACAGCTGTAGACCAACTCGTGAAAAGTTGCACGAGTATAGAGTAGCGCAGCGAGACCCTATTTGTAGAAGGCGCCCACACATCCTTCGGGACATCTGTTAAAATTGGAACACTACAGAGACTGAAGATTAGCATGGCCCCTGGGCAAGGATGACATGCATAAATCGAGAAATGGTCCAAATTACAAAAACAAAAAAAGCGCCCACACCAAAACCGTTTCCCGATTTATGGGTGTCGTCCTTGCGCAGGGCCCATGCTAATCTTCTCTGTATGGTTCCAATTTTAACGGATGTCTGGAAGGACACCCATGAACTGTTGAAATACAGAACTGTGTTCGAATCCAGATGAACTGTTTCACCCAAGAGCCTATCTCAGTTGGTACACCCTTGAACTGTTGAAATACAGACCTGTATTCGAATCCAGATGATGGAACTTGACAAGGAAAACCAACTACTAATGAAATGCTTGGGGCCGGTCAGCTCAATGATAATGTCTCAAGGCCGTCGCCCTTTTTAATTAAAAAAAAAAAAAAACCGTTTCGGTTTGGCCGCCCAAAGAACAACTGTAGCATCTGTTCTGATCAGTTAAAAAAAAAAAAAAAAACCGTTTCGGTTTGGCCGCCCAAAGTTCGGCCGTTTGGCACTACCAGCCCAAATGTCTTTTACCTGGGTGAAAGGAGCTTTCAAGGTTTTACCACAGCTCCTTTGGCCTGTTGTTACGGGTCCATGGATTTGGCTCTGTTTTTATGCCAGATTCATGAACTGGTAGGGGCCTTCTATTTCAAAATACTGTGGGCCTCATTCTATCCTTCAGCAGTACCACCCTGGGCCTCGGCTACATCAAAATGAATCTGGCGGTGTTTATGCAGCAGATTCATGATCCGGTACGGCCCTTGGAGAGACGCGTGGGCCTG